GCCAGGATTGAAACAAGGCATCAGCCTTTCCCTGTCCCCTCCCAACCTCAGCTCGTGTCCCTGTCCCACCTGAGGTGCAGGCAGGCAGGGTGACTGCTGGGTCTTGCCCTCTGCCATCCCATTAGGGCTGATGGAGATCCTGCCTGACAACTGTGTCCAGGTGGGCAAGAAGGAGCTGATGTACACGGGCACCGTGGGGCTCATCATCTACCTCGGCGGCGTCATCTTCATCAACAGGAAGAGCACCAGCAGCGCCAAGATGGTGATGGCTGAGGTTGCCAAGACCATGGCAAATGAGAACGTGAGTGTGGCCGTGGGGCTCGGTGGGGTGGCCTGTGTCTGGGCACCCCGGGGTGGCACGGGGGCATGTGGAACTCCTGGTGCTGGCTGACCTGGAGTCACAGCCACCTGCAGCTCTTGGCAAAGCTGGCTGGCAGCTCGGGGCACTGCAGGTGGATTGCTGGAGTTAAGCCTTGTCTCTCCCATGTGCAGCTGAAGGTGTGGGTGTACCCAGAGGGCACAAGGAACTGCACTGGGGATTTGCTGCCATTCAAGAAAGGAGCATTTCACCTCGCTGTCCAGGCACAGGTAACAGTGCTCTGCCTCTGCACAGGCACCCTGAGTGCTTTTGCAGTGGCATTCCAGGCTGGTCATGCAGTGTGTGGTTTATTTGCTCTCAGGTTCCCAGGTAACACCTCCCCAGGTAAACCACTGTTAGGTGTCAGAAGTGCTGCCCAGAAGGAGCCAAGAGCCTTTTCCATCCCCTGTGGGAGTGACCTGACCCTGGGGACAGGCGGCTGCAGGCAGTGGAGAGCTGCCTTTTCTCTCTCCTGCCTGCCCCAGTCCCAGTGTTCCATCTGCAGGGCAGGCACACTTGACCCTCACTCCAGGCTTTCCTGGCAGTGCCTGTGCCCAGGGGCTCCTGGGGGCATGGCTGCAGCCCAGAGCTCCTTCCGGGAAGGGAGCTCAGTGGGTGCTTTCCTGGGGAATCCCAAAGCTGTCGATGCATTTCTCAATCCCCCAGGTTGCAATAGGGCAGAGTTGATTCAGGATTGTTAATGCTCATGCTTTATAGCAACATCTGGGCTTGCTCTGTGTGGAAATAGCTGCTCCCTCACTGATGGCCATATGGCACTTCTTGGTATGTCTTTTTTCCCCAAAATGACAACATCCATGAGCAGTCAGTGGGGGAGCAGGCAAACAGCTCCTTGATTTCAGCCAGCCAGAGCTGTCCATGCTCTCAGAGGGGGCTGCTTGCCTGGGCAGGGCACTGGGGCAGTGTGCCAGGGACTGGGATGATTCGAGGCCTCAGGGGAAATTGGTTTCCCTAGGAGAGATGTTACAGCAGGGATTCTGGAGAAGGGAGTAGGTGCCAGATCTCTTGCTGAGATCGACTAGCTAAGCCCAGGGTGCAGCCTGTGTTGTACCATCCCCATTCCTGCCTTGGTGACGCAGCCAAGGCAGGGCCTGGCAGCTGCTGGAAGGGAAGGATGTCAGTGGAACTGGTACCCGCCTCTGCTACACCCCCCTGAGTCACCTACTGTAGATCCTGTCTGTGTTATCAGCATGGAATAACGACTCTGTGCCTGCCCTCCTGGCCCTGGCTCTGCCTGAAGCTTCCCTGGGAGCAATTGATGGCAACTGATGACTCCTTTTCTTAGAAGCTGAAGGCACAGCAACTGCCCTGCCCCAGACACGTGCTGGTACAGCAGGCAGGGCCTGGCAGAACAGGCATCCTGCAGTGTTTGTTTGCAGGACAGACAATACCCAAGCTTTGAAGCCTGGCTTGGGATGAGGAGCCCTAAAAGCCAGTGCTGACCTGAGACTGAAGTGGAACTTGGGCCTAGTTCTTTGAGTATCCCTGTGCCTTGAGTTGCTGGGGAGTGGTTTTGATCCTGTTTGACTCCTAATTGTCCCAGCCTTTGGAAGTGAGTCTTGCTGTGTGTGCCCTGTGTGTCTGAGAGCCAGGCCAGGTCAGCTCTGCTGTGTGGGATTTGCTGCCTGTCTCTGGCCAGCCCTGAGTTGCTGCAGTGCAAGTAACTCCTCTTTTTCTTTCCTTCCCCAAGGTCCCCGTGATCCCTGTGGTGTATTCCTCCTTCACCACCTTCTATAACCCAAAGACGAAACTGTTTACATCAGGTACCAAAGAGTCACTTGGAGACAGTGTTGATGTTGTCTCCTGTGGAGATCTGGTTCACAAGGGTGTGGGAGGGAAGCAGAGCTGGGGTGAACAGGAGGAGTCCCGCTGGGAGATGTTTGGACTCAGTTCAAAGCACTTGGCACCAGAGCCTGGGCTGGGTTAGTTCAGGAAAGGCTGTAATTAAATACACTGAGGGATGTTTTCATTAAAGATTGGATACCACCTCTCCTTTTCTGGGCAGGCTCTGGCTGGGGTGGCAATTTGGGGCACAAGGGGAATATTCTACTTGGCACAGCTCTTGGTCTAACCACAGATCAGCCTCTGCCTGCACTCCAGGGATGGATGCCTGAAGCCCTGAGACGGGATGAGGGCTATGCTGGGACTGCCCAGGGCAGGGAGCAGAGCAGGGAACAGAGCTCCTGTGGCATGTGGGTTTCTCACGGGCTCCTCTCTTGTTCCCAGGCAAAATCAAGGTGGAGGTTCTGCCCCCAATAGAGACCAAAGGCCTGACATCAGACGATGTCACCGACCTCACTGACAGATGCTTCTGCACCATGAGGGAGACCCTCTTCAGGCTGTCGGGCCGTCCAAGCGAGGCCAAGGACTCGTCCTAGAGGCTTCTCCAGTGATGTCACCGTGTGGTGGTGGCTGAAGGGACTTGTTTGTTGTTGCCAAATACTGAAGGAACTTCTCTTCCTCTGCAGTGACTTCTAACTCTGGGAACACCGTGGACTGGCACACACAGGGTGTCAAGCCAGCACTGAGGTTTCCCTTCGAGCGGATTTGTCTTATGGGTTCATTTTCTCACTACGAAACGTCTCCTTTTTCTGAATTTCTCAGGCATCAAACTTGTGCTACCAAAGGGCTCAATGACCAGAGGGGTGAGTTCCGCCAGCTCAGGCAGCTGGCATGGGGTGACAGCAAAAACCTGGCTGGAGCCTGGGCTCTGCCTCACGTGAGTGTCCCTGCACGTGTGTTCCTGCAGGCTCAGCCCTGTGATGTCCCAGATGGAAACCACCAGGCAGCAGTTTGTATCTGCACAACCTTGATGCTCAGAGAGGGCCGAGAATTGGGTGAAAATGCAGATTTGGCTTTTCAGCAGTGCTGGGAATGCAGTGTCCCCCCCGGACAGCCCAGAGTACTGCCACCCGGCACAGCGGGACTCACGGGCCTGTCTCCTTGAGATGCCAGCCGCATCTTGTTTTGGGAAACTGCTGGCAGCTCCCTGCCGTGGTGGTGGCTCAGCCTGGCCACAATCCCGGTGCCTGCAGTGCCCCCTTACAGATGCAAAGGGCTCTGTCGGGCTCGTTTTGTCACTTGTCATGGTCAGCACCGGCCGAAAGATGGTGCCTGTCCCGCGTATCTCTGCCGCTCTCCGAGGATTGTAAAACCCCCTCGGAGCCACAGGGTGGGTGAGCTGCAGCTGGAACGGGGCTTGGGAGGCTTCACCTCTCCCTTTTGGGGACATGAATTCCTTTCCCGGTCAGATAAAGGGGGTTCCCCTGTGCTTTGGGGTGATGGATGGACCAACAGAGCTCCTGGATCCCTCACTGGGAGCTGTGGAAGTGTTGATGCCCTCAAAGGCTGGGTCAGGTCCATGGTTCCTTTACCTTTAGCTCTGCTGTTCATGGCACAGGGGACCTTGGGATGAGCCACCTGGGGCTACTCAGGTAACCAACACGACCAGCTTTTGCAGCCTGTGTTAGTGGAATCGCAGTTATATGGTATTTTGGGGTTAAAGCCTCAACTGGGAAAGGCAGGGAATTCTGTGGAGGGAGCCCTTGGGCCGAGCTGGTGCTGGCAGGGGCTTTATTGGAGGGGCCTTATGGTACAGACTCAGGGGTCAGACCCTCTGTGGGATGGGTCGGGGTGGGAGGATGGGAACCAAACCAGCACTTTGTGAGAGTGGCAGATAAAGGGCTGCCATGGAGGGTAAACCCAGGAGGGCCCTGGGAGGGCTCCTGAGGGATGGTAACCATGTCTGACTTCTCCTGGGAGGAGGGAGCAGTGCCTCTGTGTGCAGTCGTCTGCTGTTCACTTTTAATTGGGTTGAGGATGTTATGTGCTTTACAAAAAAAAATTACACCTATGATTATTTAAATAAAGGAGCCTCCTGGTCTTGTGTCGGAGCTGAGGGAGGAGGATGTGGGGTGTTGATCCCTCAGCTCTTGCAGGGAGGGGGTTTGGTGATTGAGGGGCAGTGGGGGGTCCCTGTCTCTCCCTGTGCCCCCCAGGCAGAAGGGCTTCTACTCCCCAAACCACAGGGATGGGCACCCACTCCCTGTACCCAGTGCAGGGACCATGTGCACCTGTCCCCTGCCGTGACATCTCGGGGCTGCAAGGACTTGTCCCCACCTTTTCCACGTGACAGCAAGTCGGGGCAGTGTGGGGAAGCACTGCCCTGCTCGGGCCAGGCCTGTGCTCTGCAGGGCAGGCAGCATAGCCAGCCCTGTGCCCACTGCTCCCTGGGAGAGCACGGCCTGGCATAATGCTAAGGAAAAGCCAGGCAAAGCTAAACAAACTCAGCTTCACACACAGGCAGTCTGGCACAGCCAGGCACTCGTGGCACGAGGTAAGGCATTTATTTGCTGCCTCTCCAGCAGGAAAGGGGGGAGATGTGGAGGGCTCGGAATCCAGTTTGGAAGTAACTGCGTGACCTTTGATAAGGTGAGCTGGAAGAGAAAATTATGGAGATGCTGATGGGAAACCAGCCTTCTCCTGGTACCCTGTGCCTTCCTGTAGATGATGTGGCTTTGTCCCCAGCCTGGGGCTGGAGAGTGAGATAAGAGCTGCGGATGCACTCAGCTTGTTCCAAGGCCTCGGGTGTTCAGCTAGAGTTCGTTCTTGCAGGAACCTGGGAAGATGGAAAAAAAGAAACAATTCAGCAACATCCGTAGCCTGGGTTTGGTTTGTCTCTTTCCCAAGCAGATTGACCTTAAACCTCTGTGAATATCACCCACACTTGCAGCTTTCCCTTTGGCAAACAACCCTAGGCTGACTCTGTCCCACCACACTAGGGAGTGTCACTCTCACCTCCCTGGTGTGTCACAGTCCTTGCCTGGGCCCTGTGTGCAGTGTCCCAAAGCCAGTGACAGTAACAGTGACAGTCTGTGCTGGATCAGGGCTAATTCAGACTTAGAGGGGCCAAAGGGGTTATGGCTTCAAGAGCTCTCCTCTGGTGCCTTTGCTGGTGGTTTAAAGAGAAAGTAGTTTTTCTTGGTCCTTACACACACCCCCACTGAGCAGCTAATTGGGGAGTGCAGTTTTACTGTAGCATTCAGTTGTGAAATGCTTCACCAGGCACAGAACGTGGATGGCTGAGTAACTCCATGGGATGCCCTGCGAGCCCCAGGGCTTGCTGGAGTATGACAGGACAGTTTTGTGTCCTCCAGGGACTTTGCAAGACCATGAAAAGGAACAAAAACAAGTTTTGCTTGCTGGAGCAGGCTTGGCAAAAATTAATTTCAGCACTTTGGAGTCATCCCTTGGAATAAATCCATGTTACCTTGTGATACTGCTCACATTCCTCAGTGCTGTCACTAATAATATGTACAGAGCACTACTAGGAAACTCAGTCTGCTGGAACACTCCATGGTTCTGATAATTACCCCTTTCTGAGATGCTTTTTAAGTGTCTATTTGCAGCTACTTTGTCTTCAAACAAGTTCTTTGAATTCTTTTCCATCTAAGCCATTACTGAAAGCAGTGAACTGGGACTGGATATGCCCTGAACCAGTTTCCCTTGAGTCTCCTGCCACAAGCTCCGGGCTGTTGCTGCACACCAGCTCCTGAGCTGGCCCAGCCATGCCTAGTTTCTGGAATTATTTAATGGGAAAATGAGCTGCAAAGAGCTCCCTATCAAAATAAAGTGTTCACATGGTTGTGCTCTGCTTGGAGTCAAACTGCCACTCTCCAGAGCACCACAGGGCCATGAGGGGATGCTGCCCCTCTCTGTGGTGCCATGGGGGGACATGCCAGGCTGGACCCCCCCACCTCCAGCCACTTCACCCATGGCAACTCTCACTGAGGTCTCTTGCTCAGTTTGCTACTCTGGAGACCCTCTCTGGTGCACTGCTTGGTCTGTAGGCTTCAAAAAGAAATGCCCAAAACTTCCCAGGCTCGTAAATCTGCCAACTTTTGCACGCTCCCTAAATTTCCCTGATTGACTTCGTGGACTGTTAATTTCCTAAGAGCAGGGAGTTCTTTTCTAAGGACCAAATTACAAGGATACAGGAAGGGACTGCAGCCACGAGGTGCTGATTGCCAGACGTGACCCACTGCTCACAGTGGCTCCCTCTGCTCTGCCCTGCAGCCACGTTTCCTTGTGCCAACCTTACAATTTTTGGCTGCTACATGGGCAGTCAGATGGTGCAGCCACAGAAATGGCTTTGAAATGAAGCTAATGGGCTGTTTGTGTTCATCTTTTATTAATTGCAGGCTGCTGAGCTTGAGGGAGATCTAGATTAACAGTGGCATATGTGTTACTGATCTCGCTGGCCCGCATCTGCTCACTGTGGCCAGTGTGGGTGGAGGGAAATCCTTCAGCCCTGATTTTCCAGGCACTTACACGTTTCCAGCCGCTCCTCGAGGAAAGAGATCTGCTCACTCAGGGAGTCAATTCTGTCCAGTTGCTGGAGGGAGTGGGACAGTCGACTGATGGGGTCTGTGCCGACGTCCTCCGGTGCTGATGGCATGAGGTTGTGGAAAGGGGCCAGCACCAGCTGGAGTTTCTGCAGGGAGAAGAGGAGCCATGAGTGTGTCCCCCCCCACACCAGGAGAACCTCCTGAAGGAATGCAGCACCCACCAGGGCAGGTTCGTGGGGCTTTGGTGGTGTTCAAAGGGCTGCTGGGCTGGAAAAGCCACGGCGTGGGTGCTGCCGGCAGCGTGGAGCACAGCTGGGATTGCTGCTGGGATCGCTGCCGAGGCCAGCACTGTGTTAAAAATAGAGCTGGGGAAGAGGGAAACCCTGGCTGTGAACAGCCCGGGGTGGGAGCTGGCTCAGCACAGCCTCGAGCAGCAACAGGGCAGGGCAGAGGGGTGTGCTGGAAGTCACCTGCTCCAGCGCTTCCACTCGGCTCCTCAGGTCATTCATTTCTTCCTTCACTTCGTTGGAGGGACCTGAAAAAGTGACCAGGGGAACGTCAGTCAGTAAAAGCCCATTGCCCAAGGTGAAGTGGAAGGTGCTGGGGAGAAAGACATCTCTGCAGGGCTCAGGCCAAGCTCTGCTGTTTTCCCCTGCCCTCTCAGTGAGCCCCCAGGGTCTGCCCTGCCAGAATCAGGCCTCAGAGCATCAGCTGGATTCAACATCTGCTGCAAGCACTGGCATCTAGTCCAGCTGCTAATGGCACAGGCTTCTCCTGCTGCTGGAGCACCTGCAACAAAGTGGGGGATTCTTCAGGTAATGGGGTGATGCTTGAAGGACAAGGTGTCTGGTGGAGCCTGGCCTTTGGCACCCATGTTGTCAGAGAGCACCCAAGTGTGCCCCGTCCCACGGTGGGCACGAGGAGTCGATCCTGCTCAGAGCCCAGGACAGGGACAAAGGCAGGTGTGGCACATGCAGGCGGTGCCCTGCTCTCCCAGGTGTTTGCTGCGTGATGCCCGTGCTGGCCACAGCGCATTATTACTCACGGTACGAGTTTGAAGTGTCACAGCGCGTACCAAAAGTAATAATGGGCCGTCACCAGCGCCGCTCCTCGAGGCTCCAGACCTGCCCTGTGGGAACGATGATGGTGATGGAGAGAACAGGCACATCCCGGACACCACAAGCCACAGCCAGGCTGTGTCACCCTCACAGATGGATTTGTGCGCAGGGGAAGTTGTTTGGGTGGGAGAGGGACTCCTGGTTCACCGAGAATAAAGCCGAGGGGTTCTCTGGCTGTTGTCCCCTCTCCGGCCACAGCTGCTCCAGCCAGTGATGCTGAGTGTTAACCCCAGCTCTCTGAAGGCCCAGAGCAGCTGGGGCTGCACTGGGGGGACAGGTTACCTGCTTGGCTGAAGGTGTCCATCTCGGGCACTGGCACCAGGGGCCGGCAGTCCTTGTCATCAGCAGCGAGGGCAAAGCCATCCTGGCACGTGCAGCGGTAGCTCCCGGCTGTGTTGACGCAGAGCTGGCTGCAGCCATGGCTCTGGCTGGCACATTCATCCACATCTGAAACACAGGAATGACTCAGTGAGGGCAGGAGGGATAGGGGTGAGGGGCACAGATGGCTTAGGCACAGGGGGCTGCAATGGAATTCCAGCAAGTGTCCCCAGAATGAGCTGGTGTTTGTGCTGGGCACAGCTCTGGGTGTCTCAGCACCACCAGCACCTGGGACAGCCCAGCTGGATAAACCTGTGCTAATCCTGAGAGGGCTCTGGCCTCCTCCCATCTGCCCACTCCCCCCACAACAGAGCCAGAAGCAAAAGCCGTGGTCAGAAACGTCCCGGCTCTGGCCAGGCAGGCGCAGGCAGCGCCCGGCTCTCATCCTGGATTTACGGCCAGGGTTTTGGTTCCAGCCAGCTGTGGTGAGGAGCCATCAGCCTTTCAAGTGTGTACAAAACCCAGTAACCTCTCCTCACACGGGGGAGTTATTAGAGCTGTTCCCACAAAGCAGAATGAGCTGAACCGCTTCCCACGCCCGAGCACTGTTTTAGGCAGTGGGAAAATCTTTTCCTCCTGTGCTGGAGCTGGAGCTGTCAGTGATGGGCTCAGCCCTGCCTAGCCCAGCGTGGGTCAATGCCACACACTCCTCTGCCTCACAGGAGGGTGGAAAGCTGGGAGAAGCTGGGAAACACCATGGCAGGGGCTTTGCACCGCTGGTGTGCTCCACCCTGCCCGATTTCCCTGTGCTGTGAGGAGCATCGGGCTGCTCCTGTGCTGGAGAGGAGCCTGGTGCCTGAAGACTGCCAGCCTTCCCTTCCACCCCTGGATATTTACAGATTTAGTCCCTGCAGTAAATGGGTGTCTTAGTTTACAGTGAGAGTTTACAAAGCCTGGGAGAGGGAGGATCACAAGCACACAACCTCGGGCCAGCCCCACAAGGTTTCTGTCCTGCAGAAAGGCTCTTGCTGGTGTGCTTGCAGCTCTGCTTGCTCTGATCAGAAGCGGAGAGAAAATGTGGGTGCCAGGACTGCACATGAGGGCTGGGAGCACTGAGGCAGCCAAAGGGAGCTCCCCTGGGAGCCAGGCTTCTCATCCTTTCCTGGCCAGACCATCAGGCATCAGTACCATGGAGCGACACATGTAGCTGTGCATGTGTGTGCACCAGGCATGTCCCGAGCTCTGGTAAGGAGCCACAGTGCTGGTCCCTGTCCCCACTAAGGGGTCGGTGCATGGTCAAAGGACAACCAAAGCCCCATGGCAGCAGCTCTGATGCTTCCCAAGGCGAGCTCTTCCAGCAGCAGCACAGGGAGCAGGGAGAGGAGTGACATGGCCAGTACCTGTCTGGCAGGCTCTCCCCGTCCAGCCGGGTGGGCAGGCACATCTGCCAGGGAAGGTGCAGCTCCCGCCGTTCTGGCACGGCACCCAGCAGAGAGCTGTGAGAGGAAACACCAGCACAGCGTCACCCGGCAGTTCTGGGGGTCCTGAGCTCCCCCCTCCCACCCTGGATGCAACACACACACTGCACACCCCAAAACACACACCAGCACCAGCCCAGGGGCAGCAAAGACAGAGGGAGGAGGGTGACGGACTGAGCTTGTCAGGGGATGGACTGACTGCTGCTGTGGTTTGCATTTGTGGCCTCCTGAAAGCATTTCTCTTCCATTACTGCTGATTTATCTGGAAAGGAATTGCTCGCTTTATTTATCCTCTGTTAACTATAGAGGTAATGAGCGATCCCAAAGGAAAAAGGCCCAAGAGGCAGCAGAGAAAGGCTGGGAATTAATCAGATATTGAACTGCACTTGGTTGTGATGTTTAAAATTTAAACGCTTTCCTAGAGGGAGAAACCACCTGACAGGCAGAGTGTTGGTGAATGAGAGAACTGGTCCTGGGCTTCCTCCAGGAACACGAGGGATCTGGGGATGAGCACTGGTCCAGCAACCTCTTACCTCTGTTACAGTTGAGCGTGTGAGTGTTTGCTCTGCTCCAGCCGGGACAGCACGAGGCCACGGGCTCGGGCAGCTGCCTGTACCTCTGCCGATAGGCAACTCTGTAGATGGTCCTGCAATGCAAGGATGGGGCTGAGCTGGGTGCCAGAGCACCTTCCCCAAGCCTCCATCCCATTCCCTGCACTGGCACCCACCACCAGGCACTGGGAGCATCGTCCCTTTGGATCGAGGCAGGACTGCCCCCTCCCACAGCCCCCCCAGTTGCTACCACACTGGGAGCAGGTCTGTGGCACAGGCAGTGCCCTCACCTGTAGGTGCTGCAGACACGGTGGCCCTGGCAGGTGGTGAGGTAGGGCTGGTAGACGGGCTGGACGTGGGACTCGGTGTAGGCGCCCGCCCGGCTCTGCGGTGCCGCGGCACAGACCCTGCGGCTGAGCAGAGGGGACAGGGTCACATCTCACCCGCTGGGACGGGGCCTGACAGCCCCTCTCTGCAGAGGGTGAGTGAAACAGCAGTGCCTAATTGCCCCAGTGCCCTGGGAGGCCACTTCAAGCTGTTTTGGGGCACTGGCCCAAATCTGGAGCACTCTGGGCTGTACAGGCACTTCCCCCCCTGCCCCTGTGCCAAGGCACTGATGCCTCCTCAAACATTCACCCAGCATGGTCCCTCTGTCCCAGGGGAGCAGTCAGGACTCAGATTTAGGGATTATTTACTTATTCCATTCATCATCTCCATTCCCCTAAAATCACTCACTTTCTGGGTGGATTTTTCCTTTCTGAGACTTTTGCATTCCTGAAACAGATGCCTCTGTGGTCACTAAGAAATTAATGACTTCACAGGCAGGGTCAGGCTCACCGCAAAAAAAAATAGAGGCTAGATGAAAGGGGCCCTCCAGCCTTCCTAAGATAACTGTTATCCAGCCAAAAACTTTCCCAAGGTTAACAGCCAAAGTGGTCTCAGTTAAATACCCTCTTTTTCAACATTTTTCAGCCCAAGCAGGTCAGTCCCACTGAGGAACTCATCCCCTCATCTCAGCCTCCCAGCTCAATTAGAAACTAAAATAAAAAGCCTGGGAATTAGCATGGACATCAGATGGCTTCCATTAACTCCAGAGAACTCCTCTCAGCCTCGTGATTAATGTTATAGAAAATGCAATTTTTAAATGGCAATTGTTTGCTTTGCAAAATTTAGAATAAAGCTCTGGTTGCAGCCTGTGCGTGAGAGTGAGGAGTTCAGCTGTGGTTTCAGAATGTGAAAGGTTTGATGCTGGAGGAGCATTTCAGTGTAAAAACAAACTTTGTAGAAAATGTGAGCTGTATCTAGAGGTGGATGTTGAGCTCCAGCTCCTCTTGGTTGGGGAAGAATCTGGGGCACCGAGCTCTGGGCTTCCTCTGATGCAGTGGGAGCTCAGCTGTGCCTGCCCAGCCTGTACTGGGATCCCGAGTGCCAGGTCAGACCCTTTTCACGGAAAGGAAAGGGAAATTGCTGGATTTGCAGGATCATGGGCCACAGCACCATCCTGGGGAGCACAGGGCACAGCAGGCACCAGCCCACCAGGGCATTCCACACTCGTGTCCCCTAAATGTTGTGTCCATCAGAGCTGGGAGCTGCATCCTCTTCTGATGGGAGCTGCATCCTCCTTTGACAACTTTTTCACAAGGCTCAGCTGCTGTGATTGCTAGCAAGATTTCACAAATATTTTTGTGAAGGATGTGCTTGAAAGAGACAATAATAATAATTCCTGAACAGCTCAGGGCCTGATCACCTTTTGACTCTCACGGACAAAAAGCCCAGAGTGTCTTTGTGTCCCTGCCTGGAGCTAAACGGGCATTTTCTCTGAGAGGTTTTTTAGCTTCAGTGACAAAGCAAACAACCAGCAAAGGGCTGCCAGAGCCTTTTTCCACCTCCTGACCAGCCCGGGGAGCTGCCCATGTCCATGCTGGCCAAAGAGGGCTCTTCACCTGGGGAGGATGTGCCTCACCATGACATGCACATGGGCACACCTGGGAGGTGCAGACAGAACGGGGCCTTACCCTGCCCGGGCAAAGCCATCCGTGCTGGTGGTGCTGAGGATGAGGAGGAGTCCCGAGAGGAGGCAGCTGAGGTGGCACATGTCCTGTCCCTCCCACAGCACCCCGGGCTGTGCAGCACGACCAGCTCTCGCTCTTCAGTGGGGTGCGCTGCCTCCTACCACATGTCCCGTCCTTCAGCGTGGAACCCTGCAACCAGGAGAAGAGCAGTGTGAACAGGCATGTCCTTCCCCAGCTGGTGACATCTGACAAAGCCATGGGGACACACCCCTGGAAAGGGGCAAGCTCCTCCGGGCACAAACCCACCTTTCCCCACTCATCTCAATATTGTGGTGGTGATTTACCCCAGGGGATGCCTGGAGAGGCTCTCACAGCACCAGGGTCCACTCAGTCATGTGTTG